TTTTCTCGTGTGAGTAAGATTGTACCATCACACAGTCATTGTAACGTTGTATGAGATTTGTATTACCTAGCTAAGGAATAACACCCAATAGCAAAGCTACAACTTGGTATCATCTGGCCTCTGGACCAGTGAGAGATGGTCCTCAGAAAGGAGATGGCTGAGATTTGGAACCTGCGGCCCCAACTCATCTCTGTCGTTCACGGCGCTCACCAGAGAAACAGGCTCCACATCCTTACTTGCTTTTAGGAGGCTGAAGTGGTAGATTTGTTTTGCTCTGTCCCCTGATAGACAGATGCATCAACACACTGTCTGTAGATGCATCTACATGAAGGACTGGGGGGGTCATCTGCTTCTATCGTTTTATGCAAAATGAAGCTGGAAATTGGTGACAACGGCGCAGGTGATACCATCATACCCTCCCCGCACCACTCGGGGAGCAGTTCCAGGTGCCATTGGTTAGCCACTCTTGCTTCGCATGAATTACAGACATTTGATGCATTTTGGAAACAACTGATGATTTATTAACTGTTTCCCACATGGAGTAACAACACTCACGTCACTTTCCTCAGCTGGCACTGCTCCCTCAATCACTCCTCCTGGCAGCTGGATTAGAGATTCTGCTACACTCACTATTACAACACGCTGGTAAAACAGAGTTTCACAAGTTTGTTTTGTTTGAATTTGAGAAACAGACTGCCTCTCCGGTTGACCTTTGAGCTCATAAATCAAGCTGCTACTCACTCATTCTGCTGAGGGTTGCACTCGGCACTTCTTCACTCCAGCATTTCATTACATCTTTCTTTTCTGTCTGTTTCCCTTCATCTGTGTTTTGTTCCATCTACTTTTCTCTTGTCTTTCTTCTTTTCCCCGCACTGATCGCAGCTGGCCCTTCCTTGAGCCTGGTTCTACCAGAGAAAAGGGAGTTTTTTTCCCTTCCCACTTTCACAAAGTGCTTGCTCACATTGGCTGGCTTGATTGTTGTAGTTTGTCCAATTCTTTACGTCACAGTATGAAGAGCATTGAGGTATCTGCTGTTATGAATTCGAGTTATATAAATAAACTAGAGATTGCACGATACCACTTTTTAATGTCCAATACCGATTCCGATATCATAAATTTGGATATCTGCCGATACCAATATGAATCCGATATTTTGTAATCAATAAAAATGTTTTTTATAAATATGTTGCTGCATTTTGTATAAGTTCATAATCAAGTTTTAAAAAACAAGAGACTGAAGCTATTCTGTCATACCTGTATGCAAAAAATATACTGCACCCAAAACATTTTATAGTTCAGCAACACTAATCAATCTACTAAATTTAAACCTACACGATCCCCCCTATTCTGGTATTTTCTGGTATTTTAAAGAGTACTTAGTGGAAATATTAAGCAACCTAACTAAAAGGGTTGCCAACTCCCAGCAAAAATATTAGGGAACCACCACCCCGCCCTCCACCTCATGATGCGTAATCGATGTAATCAACCTTAATTTAATGCAAGTGTAAGACAAATGCACAGAAATCAATTATTTTTCTACAATAATTAAATAGATTCAACATCTTTCTTCAACAGAATTGCAGACTGCACAGATGGTACCTTCCCAAAGGAAAAAGTACTATAGCTTACTAAGGTGTATATATGACTTATTACTTACTATATACACTAATGGATTTCTATACATTTAATCAGATGACCACTTTTGTTGTAAGATTCAGATAATTATTTATTCAAAGTTTTCAAATAACATAACAAAGAAAAGTATTTCTTTGTGTCCCCATTTCCCTGTTAAAGCCCTACATGGCCCCCCTGGCAAAACTTTGCTAGACCGCCCCTGCACAGTTACCAGCAGTCAGCAGTGTAAAAAAGGATCCTGGTGTTTTTTGTCTCTCGGAAACAGTTCATAACTTCCCTTCAACTCATTCGTGTCACCTAAAAGGTAAACCTGTTTCACCATCACCTGCTCAGCTCTGATGATTCAGTAAGGACATCTCCTGGTTTCATCTTCATGTTTCCCTCTCACCACATATCCAAACCGATATCATGACCAGCAGCTTTACAGCTGTGGCTCCAGCAAACATCAGCTGATACTAGAAAGTAATATCAAATACATTCTAACAACAGCTGATCAAGCTTAAACGTGCTGCTGTTGTTTATGAGCTGGTCTCCTCTTTCTAGCACAAAGTGGGCGATAAATAAACAAGAAAGATGGGACTTGCGGCAGAAAAGCCGATCAGCTGATCAATGATCAGTTTCATGTTTGAAGTCATAACAGGAGAGGAAGGGGGAGCGAATGAGAGAAGTAGATGTGCAGCAAGGACAGAATAACTCCAGCTTTGTGTCTATTTTTAATTCTAGCTGAAGTATGGGACAAATCGCTTCCTTTTCACCTCAATATGGAACTCCGATGGCCAGTCCAGCTGTGGCTCAATATATCAGTTGTTAAGCTTAACGTGGAAATACTATGCAAACATTCAGGGATGAACTTACACACTTGCTTTACTTCTCTGGTATAGTTTTCGCCTAAATGAAATACCGCAGTCAGGAAGCATGTAGCAAGGTGCCAAATGCTCCAACAGCCCGCCGACAGGTCTCGCAGAACACAGCAGCTCTATTACGTGACACATACTGCTCCGGTGCCCCGAGCTGGGTTACGCCAAGTAGCGCGTTTTGTGAGGTGATTTTGTGATACTTCGGATCGGATTACATTTTCTATTTCTCTCCCATATCCGATCCAGTAATTTAGATCAGTATCGGACCGATACCAATAGGTAATATCGGATCAGTCCATTTCTAAAATAAACCTGGCATAATGCTGGGTTTTCGTTTTTTTAAACAGCATAAAAATTAATGAATTTAGACAAAAACTCACAATGTAATGAAATTATACAAGAAAAATAAAGCAAAATACACACATACTTAAACAGTTTGAGTCATCAGAGCAGAACCAGGTGAAAAACAGCTCAGCTCCCCTCTCAGCAGATGTTACATGTAACAGCTAATTTTAAGTTGCTTTAGGGGTAAGGGTTGTGTAAGGGTAAAGGTTCGTGGAAATGATGATGATGAGATAGCCTTTATTTGTCAGTTGCATGTCTTTTGCCCACAACCGAGATGACAGACCTTGCCAACCGTACATACAATACACAAACATCACATTGGGGAGACAGGTCAGGCTAGGTAGCGAGAGGAAAAAAAACATTGAAATGTGTAACACAGAAGGATAATACAGGAATGCACAGATATCAACACACCATAGCACAATAAACACAGACAAGCAACATGGGAAAGAGTTCCAGTGTGTACATCTGATCTGGGACCGCTGCAATCTTTCAACTGCGCCTCCAACTGACCCAGAGGGGAGGTAAGCGTTGGAGGTGGCGTTGGATCCGGGGTAGGGAGGGTGATGCGTCAGTGAGTGCTTATCAGTATCAGTATATGTATGTGT